TTTAAGCTTTTTGTTCTTCACTCTTTCTCACTATTAATATCACTTCTTGGATAATTCTCTTTTAGATTCAGAGTTCTTAGAATATTTTTTCAATATTTTTAGTAAGTATTTTTGGTGTTCTTGAAGTATTTCTTCATTGTTCTTATCGAGTCTTTTCGGTGTTCTTTAAGCTTTTTGTTCTTCACTTTTTCTTACTACTAACATCATTTCTTGAGTGATTCTCTTCCAGGTCTGGAGTTTCTAGAATATTTCTTTGGCACTCTAGGTAAATCTTTTTGGTATTCTTGGAATATTCTTTATTGTTCTTAACGTGTCTTTTCAGTATTCTTTAAGCTTTTTGTTTTTCACTTTTTTTCACTACTAATGTCATTTTTTAGATGATTCTCTTTTAGATCTGGAGTTCTTGAAATATTTTTTTAGTGTTTTTAGTAAGTCTTTTTAGTGTTTTTGGAGTATTTCTTTATAGTTCTCAATATGTCTTTTTAGTATTTTTTAAGCTTTTTGTTTTTCACTCTTTCTCACTACTAATATTGTTTCTTGGGTGATTCCCTTTTAGATCCGGAGTTCTTGAAATATTTCTTTAGTATTTTTGGTGAGTCTTTTCAGCATTCTTGGAGTATTTCTTTGTTGTTGTTAATGTGTCTTTTTGGTGTTTTTTAAGCTTTTTGTTCTTTACTCTTTTTTACTAATGTTATTTCTTAGGCAATTTTTTTTTAGATTCGGAGTTTTTTGAATATTTCTTCAGCATTTTTAGTGAGTCTTTTGGTGTTCTTGAAGTATTTTTTTGTTGTTTCCATCAAGTTTTTTTTGGTGTTCTTTAAGCTTTTTGTTCTTCACTCTTTCTTACTACTAATGTCATTTCTTGGTGATTTTTTTCCAGGTCCGGAGTTATTGAAATATTTCTTTAGCATTTTCGGTGAGTCTTTTCGGTGTTCTTGAAGTATTTCTTTATTGTTCTTAACATGTCTTTTTAGTATTCTTTAAGCTTTTTGTTTTTTACTCTTTCTCACTACTAACGTTGTTTCTTGGGTGATTCTCTTTTAGGACCGGAGATCTTAGAATATTTCTTTGGTGTTTTCAGTGTGTCTTTTCGGTGTTCTTTAAATATTTTTTTGTTGCTCTCAACATGTCTTTTCGGTATTCTTTAAGCTTTTTGTTTTTTACTCTTTCTTACTACTAATGTCGTTTCTTAGGCAATTCTCTTTCAGATCCGGAGTTCTTGGAATATTTTTTTAGCATTTTCAGTAAGTCTTTTTGGTGTTCTTGAAGTATTTCTTTGTTGTTCCTATCGAGTCTTTTTGGTGTTCTTTAAGCTTTTTGTTTTTCACTCTTTCTTACTACTAACATTATTTTTTGGGTGATTCTCTTTTAGGTTTGAAGTTTTTGAAATATTTTTTCGGCATTTTCAGTAAGTATTTTTGGTGTTCTTGAAATATTTCTTTGTTGTTCTCATCAAGTCTTTTCAGTATTCTTTAAGCTTTTTGTTTTTCACTCTTTTTCACTACTAATGTTATTTTTTGGTAATTTTCTTCCAGGTTTAGAGTTCTTGAAATATTTCTTCAGTGTTTTCAGTAAGTCTTTTTGTGTTCTTGAAGTATTTCTTTGTTGTTCTCAATATGTCTTTTTAGTGTTCTTTAAGCTTTTTGTTTTTCACTCTTTCTTACTACTAACATCGTTTTTTGGACGATTCTTTTTTAGGTCTGGAGTTTTTAGAATATTTTTTTAACATTTTCAGTAAGTATTTTTGGTATTCTTGGAGTATTTTTTCATTGTTCTCATTGAGTCTTTTCAGTGTTTTTTAAGCTTTTTGTTCTTCACTCTTTCTTACTACTAATATCATTTCTTGAATGATTCTTTTCCAGGCCCAGAGTTTCTAGAATATTTCTTCGGCACTCTGGATAAATCTTTTTGGTATTTTTGGAGTATTTCTTTATTGTTTTCAATGAGTTTTTTGGTGTTCTTTAAACTATTTCTATTTTTGTTTTTAACTCTTTCTCACTACTAATATCATTTCTTTGTATGATTTTTGTCTTCTTGTTTTGATTAAATGGGTAGTTGGATAACTAGTAGATAGGTAGATTTAAATGTCTTGTAGATAAGTAAGCAGGAGTAGGTTTTGTTTTACCTATGTACAATAAATTTTTTTTAAATAAAAGTTTTTTTAAAATTAAATATTTGATTATAGAATAGTTGTTCTGTAGTAATGCCCAATAAAATAAAATTATTTTTAATAATGCTATTAATATGAAATTATCTTTAAAAACAGTTTTTTCATGGCTACTATTTAATTGATATTTAAAATTTTGCAAGAACTTTAATTAAAAATATCTCAATATCCACCTAACCAAATTTGATGAATTTTTTTATTTTAATTATAGAAGATTACAGAATTCAAATAAAAAAGCTTTATTGGATTTGGTTAGGTTGGTGCTAAGATATCTTTAATCAAAGTTTAAAATAATTCTTAGTGCAGCTTTTATTTGATTAATGTTTGAAATTTTACAAGAGCTTTGATTAGAGATATTTCAGCATTCACCTAACCAAATTTGATAAGCTTTTTTTTTAATTTATATAATCTTCTACAATTAATACAAAAAAAGTTCATCGAATTTGATTATAGGTGCTGAAATATCTTCAATCAAATCTAGAAGTACAGTTCCTATTTAATTAATATTTAAATTTTGTAAGAACTTTGATTAAATATATCTTAGCAACTGCCTGACCAAATTCAATAAGCTTTTTTTTTATTTAATTGTAAAAAATTACAGAATTCAAATAAAGAAAAGTTTATCAGATTTGATTGAGTTGGTGCTAACATATCTTCAATCAAAGTTTAAAAACAATTCTTAGTACAGCTCCTATTTGATTGATATTTAAAATGCTTTGATTAGAGATATCTTAGTACCCACCTAACCAAATTTAATAAACTTTTTTTTTTATTTAATTTATACAATATTCTACAATTAAAATAAAAAAATTTTATCAAGTTTGGTTGGGTAGGTGCTTAAATAACTTCAATCAAAGTTTAAAACAATTATTAGCACAGCTTCTATTCGATCAATATTTAAAATTTTGTAAGAACATTGATTAAAGATATCTTAGAACCTACCTAACCAAATTTAATGATTTTTTTTTTTTGATTTATACAATATTCTACAATTAAAATAAAAAAATATTTATCGAATTCAGTTGGGTAGGTGCTGAGATATCTTAGGTCAAAGCTTAAAAATAATTCTTGGCACAACTTCTATTTAGTTGATTTTGCAAGAGCTTTGATTAAAGATATCTTAACACCCACTTAACCAAATTTGATAAACTTTTTTTATTTAATTAATGCAATCTTCTACAACTAAAATAAAAAAAATTCATTGAATTTGGTTGAGTGAGTGCTAAGATATCTTCAATCAAAGTTTAAAAACAATTCTTGATGCAGCTTCTATTTGATTGATATTTAAAATTTTGCAAGAACTTTGATTAAAGATATTTTAGCAACTACCTGAACGAATTTGATAAACTTTTTTTTTATTTGATTCATAAATCTTCTACAATTAAAATAAAAAATTCATTAAATTTGGTTGGGTGGGTGCTAAGATATCTTCAATTAAAGTTTAAAACAATTCTTGGCATAGCTCTTATTTGATTAATGTTTAAATTTTTGTGAGAGTTTTGATTAAAGATATCTCAGCACCTGTCTAACAAAATTTGATAAACTTTTTTTTATTTAATTTGTGTGATATTCAACAATTAAAATAAAAAAAAGATTATTGAATTTAGTTGGGCTGGTGCTAAGATATCTTGGATCAAAGTTTGAAAACAATTTTTAGTACAGCTCTTATTTAATTGATTTTCAAAAGCTTTGATAAAGATATCTTAGCTAAAGTTGCAGGTAAAACAAATCTTCAATGGTACACCAATAGTGTACTAGATAAAACTGGTAAAACTAGTGCACCAATGATAAAACTAGAGTTATAGATGAAGCTAATCTTCAACGATGCACTGATGGTGCACCAGGTTAAACTGGTAAAATTAATTAGTTTTATCTATAACTCTAATTTTAGCACTCACTTAACCAAATTCAATGTTTTTTTTTATTTTAATACTGCTATCTTCTACAATTAAAATAAAAAAGCTCATCAAATTTTGGTTGAGTGAGTGCTGAGTTATTTTTGATCAAAATTTTAAAAATTATAAAAAAATTAAAATGATCTACATCAATAGACTAGATTATGTGATTTCCATAATTAATTTTGATTGATTAATTATGAGTCGCCATGATGACAGGTCGCTAAAAAATAATGCCCTTAAATTATTATTTGTTAGATTATTCTAAGCTAATTTTTAGTTTAATATAATTTTTTTTAGTTTTTGTAAAATATTATATATATTATTAACCAATCAAATTGTAGTATTGGTTTTTTAAATTTTTAAAAATTTTACAGCCAATAGAATTGCAGTATTTTTTTATTATATTTTTTTTAATTTTTCTCTCTTTATAAAATAATTTATGTTATATTAAACAAAGAATTTGCTTGAAGTAATCTTAATATCTAAACTACAATATATAATAAATTATTTTTACTATGTATTTCTCTATATAAATATAATATAATGTGTCCTGGATAAGGGTAATATAAACTATAATGTGCATAACATATTAATTGTCTAACTTGATGATGAGGTAAATCAATTAAAACAAGTTCAGTATGTTATCTAAAAGCATTTAATAATACACAATTTGATTTAATATTTTCTTCATTATCAACTAATTTACAGTTTTGATAATTTTTCTGTAATTTAAAATTATTTGACATTTTTAATTTATATAAAAAAAAGATTTGCCTTTATTTATATATTTTTTAAAATAATAATAAAATAAAATAATAAAAATAAAATAATAATAAAAATAATTGAATATCATTGTTCTATCTAATATTTTGAATGTCTTTGGTTACTGTAATAATTATATTTAATATTTGAGAAACTGTTAATTGAGATAGCTATTAACCTTGAGATAAAATAATATCTAAGTTATTAAAAATAGTTACAGCTTTATCTTTAATATCTGTTTCTCCTGAAACTTGACCTTGTAATGTTGTAATTTGATGTTGTAAATCAGCTATCAATTTATTAATATGATTTACTTGTCTAGATATACTGTAGTTGTTTCTACTACTAGTGTTATTAGAACCACTACCAGTGTTATTATTATTAGAATTACTACTAGTATTATTAGAACTACTACTAGTATTAGAACTACTACTAGTGCTACTTATTTTAAAATTAAAAATTAAAATAAAAAAAATAAAAATAAAAAAACAGACTATCTATTTATATTTTTACTTTAATATCTAATTAATAGCTTTAGCTTTTTTCAAAATAACTTTTATATTTTCAAAATTACTTTTACCACTATCAAATTTGAGTCTAAGATTTGACATTATTTCAACAATTAAACTATTTATATTATTTTCTGATTTATTTTGTATTAAAAAATTTAATAATTTTGCTTGTTGTTCTTTTCAATAATTATATTTGTATTATAATTAATATCAAGATTATCCATTATTATAAAATTTGTATGTCTAATATTGTTTAATCTTTTATTGTTATTATTGTTTGTGAGATTACTTTCATTTAAAAGTCTTATAATTCTATTTACTTCAGTTAATATAGAATTCATCTTAGTCTAGAAGTCACTTCTATTAATTTATGAACTGAAAAATAATAAACCTCACTATTACTTCGAATTCTCTTAATATAAATACACCTTTATTTATCTGTAACTCGACTATTATGATTTAATATATTTCTATATCTCTCCTTTTACCAAGTTACTAAATTATTAATTGTTGTATTAGGTAAGGCTATTACAGATATGCTAGTATAACATGGACTTTTTGGTTTTGATATAACTACTCTTGGACTATTTCTTCCAGATCTTGGTCTTCTTACATGTTATCTTCTTTTATTAGTCACTTGTGCATATATATTAAAAAATATTAAATTAATTATCAAAAAGATAATTAATAATTTGAATTGCACTTGCATTCTTTAAAACATGTATATGTATTTTTTTTTTCTTTCTACTTGTTTATAATATTATTTTGATTCAACACTATTAATTAAAACAACAATTAACAACAAAATAAAATCTCATTTTTATTTTAATACGATAGACAAAACAACTATTTATATAAAATATAAATAAACAAAGAATTGACATTAATTATTAAAAATAAAAAAATAACAAAAATTAAGTTTTGTCTTGAATTAAACAAATTAATAGAATTGGAAAAAAAATGTGAGATAAAAAAATATACTGCAGAACAATGAAGATACAACTCTATAATACAAAAAATGCAAATACTTATTAATATTACAACACCTGCTATTTTTCAAAGGAATAATAAAACTTTTTTATTTTTTTCTTCAGATTATTATACAAGTCAATTATTATTTCAAGATATTAGATTTACCAAATTCTATAGCAAAGTTAATATTAAATATTACAAATTAGTATATTTGATTATAGAACAAATGAAGAACTTGCTGATGGTAATAGTAGATAATGTTTTCTTTTATCTATATCTCAAGGAGGAGCAAATATAAATAATGAGTTTATAATTAATTCTATAAAAAAATCATTCAAAGTAAGAGGAATAGTGATTCAAATAAAATTTACAACTTGCCAATTACCTATTACTAGCAGAAAATGTTTTTACAGATTTATATAATCTAGTAGATAGTCCAATTAAAAGAAATTTTAATATTGTTTTTAATAGAACACATACTATAGAATATAAAGATTGTAATTACAAACAAACTCTCTGTTTTAATTAGAAAATCAAAAAACAATAATATATTATTCAATCTGGGAAAGATAATAAATTTATTCAATTTAATACTGAATTTTTTTTGGTTTATTACTGTTAATAATTTATCAAAACCTCTTAAAATAGATAAATACATAAATAATGCAAACAAAAAAACTTAATACTTTGTTAAAACAGTACTTAGACCCAGTTTAAATGATGGGTTTTTAAGAAATCTACCAGAAATTATTATCAAATTAACTAAAGCATATAGATATATTAATTTTAATACCAATAATATTTAAATTATTAGAGATGTAGTGATGATATAAAATCTTTAAAAAAAAAAAAAATTTATAGAAAAAAATAATGAAAAAAAATATAAATAGAAAACCAAAATTAAAAAAAAAAATAGATGAATAAATCACAACTTTATGATTCACTCTTGTTTACTCTCTTATTAGAAATTATTATTCTACTTTTTCTATTTATTTTTGGTGCAATTTAATTTTACAAAATTAATATCATTTTCTAACACAACTTACAACAAATCTTGTTAATAGTTATCACAAAATCATTTTCTTTTTTTAAATCAAACTTAGTAAAAGTGGCTCCAATTAAAAAAAAAAAAACTATCACTATAAAAAAAAATAAAAAAAATAGCAAAAAAACTATCTTTTACAAAAAAACTATTTACAAAAAAACAAATAACATCTGAAAAACCTAAATCTAAACAAATAACCAAAACTATATCAACTGTAAAGGAAAAAAACAGTGTAATAATAGTTGTTATTCTAAAGATTCTGGGCTGTGTAGTTCCAGTTGTATTTGTTGTTTTTTACCAAACAATAAAAATTCTTTAATAGTTGGATTAATATAAAATGGTTTAAAAAAATATTTGTGTTCTATAATAGAAAATCCAATACAACTTGAACAATATTGTGGATTAAAAACTTATACAAATGAACAAACACATTACAATACTCTTATACAAAGAGTAAGAAGTAGATAAAATATTGAAACTCTAGCAAAGATAGCAGATAGTTGTAATATACTTGATTATTTCCTATTTTGATATTACTCTAGTAAAATGCTATTTTAAAATATTAGATTTAATGGTGAAAATTTAAATAAATATATGTTAGATTATTATCATATTATGAGACTAAATATTTTTGAAAGTAAAAACTTTATAATTGATCATACTGATCAAACCAGTAGATTAAATAAATATATATTTCTACTTTCAATATCTCAAGGTGGAGAAGATGCTAATAATAAATTTACAATTAATCTAATAAAAAAGGATTTTTATGTTAGAGAAATAGTTATTTAATTGATGATTCTCTAGTCAACTGATGTGTGATCTTAGTAAAAAGTGACTCAGATTACTATATAAATTTACTAT